ATGGGTTGATGGGATGGTGTTTCTGAATGACCTTACAAAATTACTTCCGGAATAGTTTCGTTACATGGTATTCGACATGAGCTAAAATTTGCTCGAACGGTGGACCACCCGCTGTGTGCTTGGCGCGATTAACCGGTGAATTCACCGGAATACGGTTTGTGTTATTCGCTCGAACGGGCCCTAAAAGTTGATTATTGTTACTGTTGTCAAGCTGTTAAATTTTTATATAACATATTTTTATGAATTTTTTTTTTGTTTGGGAAAAATTGGAACTGCAGCTCCCATATACAGCACTTATTTATATAAATTTGTAAAAAATCTGGTTTACCTGGAAATTGGAATAAAATAAAATAAATAAATAAAATAATTACAATGTCCGCTAGTTGGATAATCTAAACTAAACTGCACTGTTTTGATAACTGTTAGTCATGAACTTTTGAAATGATCCAATGATACCAATCTTGAACTGCTCAAACCAATGTAAAATTGCATACTATGTGGAAAACTAAGTACTGTAATAAACCGAATTAGTCATCAAAACAAACCTGCTGTAGTGGGTACTGTATAACCTCAAAGCAAACCACTCTAGAGGTGGCAGTTTTTCCACAAAATAATAAGCCTCCGCTCGAATAAATTTTGAGTGTTTTAAACTCCTCAAACTTGTTTATTTGTTCATATTGTAAACTAACTTATTGAAAAGCCTTGGTAAATATTCAGATCCTTTCATTCTGTAAATGTCAGAATTTTGACTCGCTAGATTTGAAATGGAGTGACAGAGTCATACAAACAACGTTCTTCTGACTCATTGGTCATCGTAGTCAAAAGAAACATAATTGTACAATTCAGTAGTTTAAATATTGCATACAGAAATTGCAACAGAATGATTTGATGACAGTATTTAAGCTGAATGTGTACAATAAATCAACAACGATCCCTTAGTCAGTGCTGGATGTCTCAAGTAGCCCAAGCGATAGGCCTGGGCCTCTCAAAACACTTCATATATTTAGTCTGAATGGAAATTTAAATCAAATCAACCTTAATCTCATGAATCTATGAATCATTCAAAATGTATACGTTGTTATAAAAGTATCTTCTACACTAAACTTCATTACATTTTAGGGGATTTGATGGACACTACTTTCGACCCAGCGCAATGCACTGTGTTAGTTTCTAACATAATCTAGTATTTTTGTTTTGTTTTCCAGTTAATTTGTAAAGTATAATTAAGTTAGTTAAAGATACAGTATGTCTCATTAAGATTGTTTGATTAGTTAATTTTAAGTCATTTTTTAGGTTTCTTCTGATTTTCTAGTTACTGTAAAGTTGTGTATACACGGCCTTGTAGAATAACAACTGTTTAATACTGAAGCTGAGCCAAGTTTCTGTGTTTTAAATAAAGCATATTGGGCATGTTTACAACTTTAATACCCACTTGGCAAAATTGTGATGACATCATCTTTGGACTAATTCGGTCCATTGGTAAGGTGAGGCTCCATTTCAAAACATTCCCTTTCCACAAATATCAGAATGTTGAATTTCACCAATTCCAATTCAAACTTTAATACCTGTACACGGTGCTAATGATTATGAGATTACTCTTAATCTTATCTATTTTAAGTCAATTATTTCAAAACTCCTAAAATAAATGAAAATGGCCATTTTACAGGCTAGCGTGGAAGTCACACAAAAAATGTTTTCCCGCAGTCCCGCCTGCATTTGTAAAATGTAGTCAAGTCATTTTTTTTATGCTCCTTCATAAGAGTGGAATTTTACAAAATCATTGTAATGAAATTAATTGCCTAATTATCATCATTATTATCAAAATGGCTGTGAGATCTAACAATGCAAATGATGAGATTTAATAAATTTTACTATTTCGTAGTATTCTATCAGAAAATGATTGAATCAGGAAACGGTCATATATAAAGATTATGTTACTCATTGCCATGAGGAATCCCATTATCCACTACTACTACAGTAGTTGAATTCAGGGGTGTTCTAAAATCAATCGCTAGTTAAATTATAGAGTACTACAGTGTTACGTCACGATACCATGTGATACTAATCCATTGCTATCGTTGCAAAATGAGTTCAACCGGACGCCATTTTCTCCACTGACAAACCATTGATCCAAATTTATAATGTAATTATTAAGATGTTGTATCTTAGTTTTTCTTTGTAAATTTTAATTGATGATTAAATGTGTGTTCGATAACTAATATAATGCGAGCTCTTGTGATTTTAGTACATTTTGATGGTAAAATATTAGATTTTAAAATGCCTATTCCAGAAAGCCTATAAAGTCAATCAGGCGTAATGAACGGTAACCAACGCCTGTTGACAACAGAGTGCGCCACCTGGCGTCGTGACAACATGACTGTGGTACTCTATGGTACACAGTGTAAATCTACAGTAGCGGTGTTGAAGCCCTATCGCCCACCCATACAACAACAGGCTAAACATTACTGTAATCGAAAACAATTAATAAAAATGCCCAGATTATTCTAATAGTTTCACAAACAAGACATGTAAGTTAATATTATTAAACTAATTTATAAGTCTGGTTTGGTCTTCTATTTTGAATAATAATTTGTGTACTTGTAGTAACTTTATCTTACATCAATCATCTATACCGTGTGCAGTCATTGAGATTCAGGCTCTCACCCAACCAAGGTCAGATGCTCAAAAACTTTGCTGTGAATTCCACTTTTTTCCTTGGGCAAGGCACTTTTGTTTTCTCCACCACAAGTATAAGAAAAGTGGGTACCTGTATGTTCAAATACTAATGTGATGGTTACTGTACTTCTTCCATGTTATGCTTTATGCATTTGTTCCAAAAACCAAGGAAATAATGTGGTATGAATATCATTCTCGATGATCCAAACTACGGTACCTTTGATTGCATTCCTTTGTAAATATTTAAATTTTTACTCGATAGTATAGAGTACATTATGTAAATCAACAGAAATCACATTTATACATTTTTAGGCCTTGGAAAATTATATCTTCTTTCACAATCTAATCAAACAATATATGTACAAGCCTATGTATACATGATGGAAACTTGGTTGGTTATATCTTCTTTCACAATCTATTGACCACATTTGCAGCAAACTTTGTGCATATTTTGATGCTTTAAATTAAATATCTGATGGCTACTCTGTCCAGACTAATTTTCTTGGACAAAAAACTGTTTTATGCCCATATATAGTGATGATATGCCATATATAGTCATGATATGCCCATATTTAGGCATGTCACATGATTTTGACAAAATTTGGTAGCATGGACAGGGATTAAATTTATAAAGACTGTAAACTGTCAAAAACATTAAGACAATAAAAATATATTAATTTACTCTTATCATCACTCCTTTGGTGCCAAAACTTGAGCTTTTTCTTGCTTTCCTTTTTCTCTTCTGCCGGGGTACTTGGGAGGGGCTTGGATCCGGGATTCATGGATGCTTTAAATTAAATATCTGATGGCTACTCTGTCCAGACTAATTTTCTTGGACAAAAAACTGTTTTATGCCCATATATAGTCATGATATGCCATATATAGTCATGATATGCCCATATTTAGGCATGTCACATGATTTTGACAAAATTTGGTAGCATGGACAGGGATTAAATTTATAAAGACTGTAAACTGTCAAAAACATTAAGACAATAAAAATATATTAATTTACTCTTATCATCACTCCTTTGGTGCCAAAACTTGAGCTTTTTCTTGCTTTCCTTTTTCTCTTCTGCCGGGGTACTTGGGAGGGGCTTGGATCCGGGATTCATGTTGTTGCCTTCTAACTTTCCATCTTTTCCTAGAGTACTTGTTATCCTGAGTGGTGGTGCTGGAGGAGTTTCATTATCATCCATTCTACTTCCGTTAAACATGGAGGAGACCTCAAGTACCACAGTTCTGAAAAGTATAACATTCACAACTTGTTAATATTCAATGACCTTTAAAAGGTTCACAGTGTCATCAAATCATGCCACAGTTGTATTGTAGTATTTTAGTATTAGTTCTGAAAAAAAAAATATCCACATTATTTTGACCTCTTTGTGGTTAAAATGACTGTAAATGGCATGTTCTCTCATATAACTAAATTTTGCCAGCATTATTTGCCTAAACAATAATTTTTTTTTACATAAACTAATTATGTTACAGTGGATTTTGAGTAGTATCTTCTTTTTGTTAAAATGTAATTTGATGTTTTGGAATTGGAGTGCAATAAGTACTACAAATAAATAAGCTAAAACAATCATGTTTTCTATGCAGAATTGAAATTATACCCGCACCACCTCCCCCCGCCCCTCAAACCATCCTTCTCTGTACTATACACCTCAATAACCAGAATAAATTTTATAATTGAGAACACATTATGACATAAACCTACAAACTGAATAGTAAAATTAAAATTTGAAAGCTTATAAGCTTCCCTTCTTAAATTTAGAGTACTCCGCAGCAGTTACAGGTATAAATTTGTAGTGAAAATACAATAATAATGAACAGACTGCACACACAAACACATCAACACAAACGTTTTAGGAAACATAAAAACACCATAGTACAGTGCATGCACATACATACCTATAAACTGAACTTAAATTACTTTGCATTCCTGAGCATTTCTGATCATACAATTTAGATTTGAATTGTAACGCACTTAAGGAATGATGTGTTCACAGACCTAAAGCCACTTTGGGAATGGCGGTACAATATCCTGGCCGTAAACCAACACTAAAATAGTATTGATGACTCATTAGATGCAAGGGCAGATGTGAGAGATAACGGAATTAGCCTGCTACTGAACTGAACTAGGTAAGCTTAACTATAAACACAATAAAAAAAACTTGTTTTCTTTAACCCCCTTTTTTTAAAAGTCTGAGATAAAAATCTATATAATTTTAGTTTTAATTAATTCCTAAAAAATATCAATGGTTTTTACAAGGATTAATTGCAATCTAAGTTCCTTCCAGACAATGTTTATTGTGGAAGGTGCTAGAACCATTACTATGCATGATTCCTGAAGATGAGCGAGTAGTATGGATTAACGATGGCTTGTAATACTTTCTTCAGAGTTTGTTTGATGATACTGTTTTATGCTTTAGCTTAAATATATGTTGAAAAAGCTTTCACCGCAGGCAGAATTTCATTACTGTATATGATGGCATCAAACAACGGTAATCCTTTTACTAAAATTGTAATTTATAGTACAGTCAGTACATTTATCTAGAAAAAAAAGCTCAATTTCTTAAGATTACTAGTTACCTTTAAAATAAATGTCATAAAAAAAATGGGGAAGGGGGGAAATAGTAGCAAAACACCATCTTTAAACACTAAGTATTGTACAGTTGTAATTAAGTAAAAAAAAAAAACTATTAAGTATATGATTGAAAAAATATCATGTACAACAATTAACATTTCACACTTACTGTTGATTGTACTAGAGCCACAAATATTATAAAGCCCTATACACACTATCATATTTTATTTGACAATAACATGTGACATCACGTCATGACCATATATAGGCACATCAGGACCATATACAGGCACATCATGACTATATACAGGCACATCATGACCATATATAGGCACATCATGACTATATATAGGCACATCATGACCATATACAGGCACATCATGACTATATATAGGCACATCATGACTATATATAGGCACATCATGACCATATATAGGCACATTATGACTATATATAGGCACATCATGACCATATATAGGCACATCATGACCATATATAGGCACATAATGACTATATATGGGCATACAACAATGAAAATTTGATAGTGTGGACAAAGCTTATTCTTTAGAACCATTAAAAATTTATTCCAAAAATTCAGCGATTAACAAGAGGTGTAGGTTTGTAGTTTTTTTTTTCTGAAGTTGTGTGTTCTACAGTACTGTATTCTGTCTTCAATTCTGTCAATACATCAGGTTTTATGTGACAAATATTTGTGGTTTGCCCATATACGAGTATGAATTACATCATCATGCCCGAATATGGGGAAATGATCAGATTTGCTGGATGGAACAATCTTGTTATTATACATTTTTTCTTTATTACTCTTTTTCTATACAATTTTCTATTGTCAAAAATGAATAGGCTTATAGTACTGTAGATACAGCCTTTTATGTCATATTGTTGCTACTCAACAAAATCAGTCCACCTGTAGGTAAGCTGCTGAGGTTCCTTACAATAGAATTCACTCTATTTTTACACATAGTGAAAAATTAAAATCCAGAAGTTAAACTGGAATACTGTACTTAAAGTTAACAATCAAACTGAACAATAAATTGCATGGTCCAGAGAACACAAAGGCAAATTGTGCAATAGGGTAAAAAAAAAAAACAGTTTTTATGGACCAGTTTGTAATTTTACTTAAGTTCTTTGAAATTGTAAATGATTTATTATAATATTTCCTCTAATGTGCTACACTGTGGATTTGGTGATGTGACAATTACTCAGAAACTGATGACCTTCTGAAACCGTATTGTCTACATGAGAGATAGGCTGATCCTATGTTAATGCACTACAGAGTAAACAATTCCAAATGAAGAGTAATTATTAATATGTACTTTTAGTTATCATTACATAATTGCTTTCATTATCATTATGAATACATACATTACATGGACTAAAAACATGGTTTTTAGTCCATAGTACACATTTTGAAAAGTTTTACTGCTTTATTTCAATAAATGATGTTTGGAAGTTGATACTGGCTAATTTGTGTATTTTTTTAATGAAAAAATATAGGTGTACGGCCACAATTTTCAGACACGTACGTCCATACCCATGAGTGTGTACGTCCATAACCACAAGAAAATGAACATAAAACCTATGTACAATCAATAAATGAGACTAGTTAAAATATATTAGGAAGCTTTAAATCCATTGTATACACATATATTTTTATTTATTTTTTTAGACCTCACACTTCACATAATTTTTAAAATGTTAATGTAAGTTCGAAATAGTTGTTTTCTCTGCATACGTCCATAACCGGCTATTTTTAGAACATTACTCATAAATTATAAAAGATAGAGGGCTGATAGTTGTCATGGTTATAGCACTAGTTGGTAAACCTGAGATGTCCATATCAAAAATAACCCAAACACATTGGCCTGTATTGAAGGCTTTGTTAAGTTCTCTGAAATGTACGTCCATAACTATGGAACTGCCCAAATACTGTACTTGTATAAAACATATAAAGTACTGTGAAATTTACTTTTGGTATAATTTTTGTAGCAGAGCTTCCTTGGAAAGTAGTACCAGTCACAAGTGAATGTTTATACTCCGCCCTAATAATACAGGAAGCCAAATAAATAAGCACAGGTCTCCCTCCAATTAAAGACCACTACTGGGACTGGGTTTTCCATGGTCTCTAATTAGACTAATTAGGTTTAAGACATTTTGGGTTGTTAATTTGGGACCACAGAAATATGGTAATTTAATAACTGATAGTGCTCGGTCTTTAAATTGGAGTGGTCTTTTTAGAGGGAGATCTGTATAATAAATGATAAAATTTAAATAAATATATGTTACAGGAAATTATGGTAAATAAATCACAATTATGAAGGGAATGAGGGTTATATTCAAAACACTTCATTTAATATTTTATACAATTTACAATGATAAATTACAACAATTTACAACAAGCTGGTACTGTATCCTGTGCATAGGGTTTAGCCAGACTGAAACGTAGGGACTGCTTGTCCAATAATTATTCCCTGTTGGTGTACAAAAAGTTTAACCTGCAAATTTGTCTACACATTTTGAAATATTAGACGAATTCCATGTAAAATTAAAAAAAAAAAATAGGACAGCCTTGGAAAATTTCCTTTCAGGTAACACACTCGCAACACTCGCTTAATTTGTTAAAAGAGCGAAGTGACTGAGTGACGCTTGCTCAGAACGATTGTTCACAGGCTAGTTTTACTGAGAGGAAAAGTCAAGTACAAACAGTGCACCACTCAACATGAATTTTCATTGACATCAAATGTACTGTACTACTAGTACTATAGGCAATAAGTTTAATGTTTGTCTGAGAGAAAATGTTCCTATTCTGTCATCGTATCTCCAGGTTAAAACTCAGCTAGTGTCTTTTTTCAATTGGAGTCTGGTTGCTTGGCTCCTCAAATAACCCTCATGTTGACGGTAAGGTGGGTTAAGAAACATGTTTGTGTCCATATGTATCCGTTACTGTTTGTAGTTAAGTTTGGTGGCACCGTACTGCTGCTGCCACGGTCAGGCCATATTTCAAATGGCCAAGTTGAACAAGGGCAAATAAAAAAAAGATTATAACTAAACCATGCATGTACACATGTGTCAAAACGTCTGGTGCAAACGATTATACTTGGTGACGGTAAATTCTTCATTTTCCTGTGTGAATGTGGCTTAAGTGTCAACATATTGCTAATGTATGGTTACATTTCTGTAAATCTATTCTCCAAGGAATTTTTAGTTAGTTAACAATAATGTACCAAAAGGTCCACTGATTAATCTCGGATAAGATAGTAATTACATACTCCAAATATCAAAATGCACGCTGGCCATCGTGTTGGGATTCAATATTTCGACATTAATTATGTCATCACTGGAATTCCAGACGATGACATATTTAATGTCGATATTGAATCCCCACACAATGGTATGCATTTTGATACTTGGGAGTATGTATTTTTTTACTATCTTTAATAATGTACCCTCATGCACAGAGTGGGTCCAAGGATTGCTGTATTTTCAGATGATCTGCCAACAAATCAGTTAATAACTGAGACTACAATTTTAGTGTCAGTTATTCAGTAATTTCATATTTAGTTTAAAATAGTTCATTCGTTCCAATGACAGAAAGACTAAAGTTCTTTTTATACACCTGATTGTTTATACCATTTCAGTCAAAAATAGTTTTAGTTTCTCTTTTGGTCTTTTTTAGTATATTTGAGCTTCACTCAATGCTTTTCTGGTAATACTATTGAAAGATAGATGATTTCAGAATGTGAGCCAACCTGCTTTACTGATAGGCCTAGGCATCTAGTCCTGTTTATCACAAAAAGATATAGGCTTTGCCTAGGCATACCACTTCACATTTTCATGTGTAATATTATTAATTATTATTATTCAATTTGATGTATAGGCTTATTCATGCTTAACAACTTACTTTTATTAATATCACCCAAAACACAAGTATTAATTTATTTATGGTAGCCATCAAAGAAAAGGGTACATAGCTAAATCTCACGTTCTATACAACAGACAAGAGCACTAACTGAACCAGTTGTAATTATGTCTTCCTAAGGTCTAACTCTAAGCAGGAAGTAGGCTCAATAAAAAGACAACCTGGCTAGCTGCGAACGTACACACAGCGTGAGAAGCCCTCTCGATGAATTCACTTGTTCCTAGCCTGGAGACATCTCGCGTATTTTTAACAAGATATTGTCAAGTTACTATTATAATAACATAAATTTTAAGACTAATGAGAGCTATTGATACAACAAATGAACTCAAATGAAAATTAACATACCTAGACTCGTAACAAACAACCTACAGTACTTTATAACAACGGCGACAAGATAAAGTCAGCCTGCACCGAATTAGGCTTCACGCTCTGTTGCTCCTTATTATTTCCTATCCAGTAAAATAACCAGGGTGTGTGGTTTTCATACGAGGTCGAGAGGATGCGGCATGTGTGTATCGG